ACCAACATCTTCATTGTGGAAACCCTTGGATGAACTTGGTGGAGTTCAGTATCTGGCAGTGACCTTTGCTCAGGACAATCACTCTATTGCCATCCTCCATTGTGATCTGGTCTCTTCAGGTTCAAAAAGGTTTCAGTTCTGTTTGTGACAACCCTTTGGTTTCTCCCATCAATACCAGCTGTTTTAGTTTTGCCAGGACCAGATCTTTCTCTGCCCAAAATCTGTCCAAATTGTCAGCTGTGACTGTAAGTATACCTGGAAAATTTAAAACAATTATGGACACTTCCAGTGGTGATATCACTGGTTGTGAATCTGACAATGGGAGGTGGCTCAATACATCTGCATTTGCTACTTGGCCTCCTGGACAGTGTTCCAACTTTTAATTATAAGCACTTAGTATTCGAGCCCACTGCTGAACTCGACCAGAAACTATGGCAACACTGCCTTGTCTTCTCTTAAGTAGGCCTAGCAAGGGTTTGTCATCCATTATTATTAAAAATTTACATCCGCAAAGGTATTGGTGGAATGGCTGACTCCAAATATGACCATCAGATTTTCCTTTTCTATCTGGGCGTATTTATGATCTGCATTAGCCAAAGTCCTGGATGTATACGTTATTGGGCATTCTGTTCCATTGGGCCACCAATGAGCTAATACTACCCTGTAAGAGGAGGCATAGCATGTCAACACCAGATTTAGCTGGGGATCATAGTGTGCCAACACCCTAGAAGATGATAGCTATTTCTTCACTTCCCTGAAAGTTATAGCATGGCTACGTGACCATTTCGAAGACTGATCCTTTTTTAAGAATTGATGCAAAGGTGCCAGGATGGAGGCCAGATTATAGAGTCATTGTCATAGTCATTGAGTCACACAGCACTGAAACAGACCCTTTGGTCCAACCAAAGTCCATGCTGACCATAATCCCAAACTAAACTAGTCCCACCTGCCTGCGTTTGGCCCATATCCCTCCAAACATTTCTTATTCATGTATTTATTCAGATGTCTTTTAAATGTTGCAACTGTACCTGCATCCACCACTTCCTCTAGAAGTTCATTCCACATATGAACTACTCCCTGTGTAAAATGATTGTCCCTCATGTCTATTTTTAACTGTTCCAGGGTGTGCACTCTCCTGGATACTGGCCTATGAGTTCTCTTACTCAATTTAGATCTAGTGGGACTCTTTTGCTGTCTCGAGTTTGCATTCCGGCAGCTACTACAATGGCTTGCTGGCTCAGATCCTAAAGAATATTTCAACCATTTATCTGAGGCTTGGCTTTGTTTTGGGTTTTGCTGAGGGCTGGCCTAGACTCCATCTGTTCAGGATATGTTGTCCGTGAAGCTATGCAATTGTCTTCATTCAAGCCATGTTCTCCAAGCTCAGTCGGCCCGGAGAGCTTCATTCAGGGAACCCACAATCTATGAACCTATGACCAACACTCCCTCTCATTCCCACCTCCTTGACCTGACACAACTTGTCCATCTTCTCTCCCACCTATCCGATCCTCCCACCTCACTGACCAATCCACACCACTGCCTACCTGCACTCACCTATCACCATCCCACCTACCTTCCCCAGCCCCATTCTTCCTCTCTCTATTTAATTCCGAGCTCCCTTTCTCCTCCCCCATTTCTGAAGAAGGGTCCCGACCTGAAACGTCAATTTTCCTGCTCCTCTGATACTGCCTGGCCTGCTGTGTTCTTCCAGCTCCATGTTGTGTTACCACAATCTATGATGTCCTGCTGGTCGATCTCGTTACAATCACTATATAAGGGGGTTAGAATTTTAACTGGCAGAGTTATATGCCAATAGTTCATAATTGCTTCTCTGTGTTTAGAGTCAATTCTTGTAATTCTTGTTAAATATAGAATCCTGCTGTATGCTTTCTGTTAAGCTGGGTCTGAAAGTTAGATTAATTCAGGTGATTTTAAAATTGTTCAATTTTTGTGAAGGCTCTGGAAATTGAGAGGCTTGATTTGCCTAGCTAATTGCTGCAACTGAATGCTAACTTTCTGAATTCACTGTCCCCAGCGCGTGTCCTGCTCCTTGTTCGATTCAGTTCAGTTTAGTTTCTGGTCAATGGTATACCCCAGGGATTTTGATAGTGGGGAAATGACTATTGGGGATTAAATGTCAAAGGATATACGGTTAGATTCTCTCTTGTTGGAGATGGCCATTGTCAAGTACTTTTGTGGCACGAATTTTACTTCTCACTTATTAGCCCAAGCCTGCATATGATTCAGGTCTTGTTTCCTTTTCTTATGGACCGCTTCAGTATCAGAAGAGGTGTGAATGATGTTGAATATTGTGCAATCATGAGTGAACATCCTCTCTTCTGACCTTATAATGGACAGAAGCTAATTGATTAAGAAGCTGAAAATAATGGGCCTATGACACTATCCTGACAAATTCCTACAGAGATGTCCTGGGCCTGACATAACTCACCTCCAGCAACTACAGCAGTCTTCCTTTGTGCCTGGTATGACTCTAACCAGTGAAGATAATTCCACCGGTTCCTACCAATTCTGATTTTGCTTGGAGCTTGATGGCACCATTGATCAACTGTGTCCTTGATGTCAAGGGCAGACATTCTTACCTTCATTCTTGAACCTTGTTTGATGTTGGACATTGAAGTCCTGACAGAGAGTGCCATTCATGCTGTTGTTGCCTTTAGTGCTTTTTTTTAATGGTGTTCAACATGGAGGCAGATTGATTCAGGAGCTGAGGGAGAACAGTAGCTGCAATCAGCAGTGAGTTAATTGCTCATATTTAACCAGATGCCATGAAATTTCATGCCATCTGGAGTCAAGTTTGAAGACTCCTAACACCATTATTTCACATCTCTACAATAACCTCCTGTGGGTCTGTTCCAATATAGGGACAAGACAAATGTAAGAATGTGATTTATAAAAAAGTCAGTGACGCTGTTTAATAGTCAAATTAAACTCTCAAATCCTATCTATGTCAGGCTATTGATGACTGAACAAGAGTTCTGTTCTAACTTTGGCACATGGCATGGACACTAATGCTTTGCAGGTTAACTGGGCTGGATTTATCTTTGTCATATCCGAATCCAGTACTCAAGTTAAAGCCAAGGGCCCATCTAGTTTTAACCTATTATTATGTCTTTGCAATGATGTGCATGATAAAACCCTGTTTGTATGACTAAGGGGATAAGCATTCACAAATTATTATCTATACAAACTTTGGCTTCAGAGCCTGTATTTTTGAGATAGCCCCTAACTGAAAATGAGATGAAATCTTCAGATAGCTGGAAAAGGGAAATTGCAACTTGGGATTCCTGGCTGTGATGCCAGAGTTTTGCAAAAAAATCAAATGTTAGCTGATTGGGAGAGAAAAAAAAGCACAGAAATATTTTTGCCATCAAATGTCAGCAGGACATCAAAGTCGGCAGTCTGTGGAGAGCTGTGCATGTGGAACGTATGAAAAGCATACAGCTTGAACACTGATGAAACGGTGAAGGAAGTTGTGCAGAAATGCTCATTGTTGATGATTAATTTATCCGTAGTACCCAGACTGAATAACTGAAATCTGCATGAGTAAAATACTTTGAACTCTGGCTGAATTGAAACGACTGAATTGTGGAAGGAGGGACTGCCATTTAATTTCTGGAACTATCTTTCTGCATGGCAACAACTCTACCAAGCAGTCGACACACTCTTCTCAAACACTGCAAAAATGTCATTACCCTTGGTCTTCTTGTGAATTGTCCTGATGTGTGTAAGATAAAAAGCGTCAACAAAATGTTTTCTTTTTCAGCAATTATTAAGAACTTTCCTTATTGTATTGGCCAATTAAAATGCATTTTGTAGTTTCTACTCAATACAATATGCCTATCGTCATATGTAATTTATGTTGATTTTGCTTGGATCTTTCAAATAAAAAGTGAAAACTTATTCACCTTGTATTTTTATATTGGATTTGTTTAGGAATTTTTCTTCTTTTAAGTAACTGGTATCTTGTGTTATAACACTTGTTAAAATTGAGGATCTGCTAGGCTATTTCACAGGGCAGTGAAAACAGTGTTGTGGGCCTGGGATCACATATTTATCAGACTGTGCAAGGGTGGCAGGTTTCTTTTGCTGAAGAATATTTTGGTTTTTACAACAGTCTGTTGGTTTTGTGGTCATTGTTAAATATGCTTCATATTCAAAAACAGTCATGGTGGGATTTGAACATTTATGTCTGTATTTTTAGTCCAGGTCTTTGGATTACTCATGCAGTGATATCATAACTATATCATACCTTTCATGAATTTTCTTGATTTTGCAGCAAATTACATGGTTTGGCATTATATGACAATTTGTAAATATATAGCAAATGTAAATTAAGGCTAAGAATATCTTTATGTTATGGAGTAAATAGAAATCATAAGGGAACCAAAATATAATAATTATTCTAATCTTTAGTTTCTTTAGGTCAAACAATTTTTCATTTTTACAACAAGGTTATGGTTTCAAGGATCCTTTTCAGGCCTTGAGCACAAAATCCAGGTTAACACTTAAGTTGCAATTCTGAGAGAATGCTGTATTGTTTGAGGAGCTGTCTGTTGGATAAGACATTATGTTGAAACCCCTGTTCAAGTGAATACCTGTACCTCAACTATCACAGCTCCTAAAGCAAAATCACTAGTCATCTATCTCAAAGTCCTATGTCTGATCTTACCTTCCATAAATTTGCTAGCACATATAGTTATAATAATTGGCTGCTGTTCAAACCATTAAATGGGCTTGTTCTGAGGAAGTAAAATCTGCCAAGTAAATGAAATTTCACTCAGACTTTATTAATGTCTGACTTCTTCATAATTACAGTATATACCTGACATGAAAATGTCGATTTAATTTGAATTTGTCAATTATAAAGAAAATGAGAAAATAAGAGTTTCTCCTTCAAATCAATTATCAGATGATTTGATTGAGCAATTTTGAATCAAATGTAGAAGAAATGTGCATTCATTTTTGCCATTTTCCTTTAGGTTCTGATCTTCAGGTGTGTACATCAAAGGATCTAACATGCTGTACAAGAAAAATGGAGGAGCGATACCAAGCAGCAGCTCGTCAAGACATTCAAAATTTGCTTCAAACATCCAGTTCAACATTGAAATTTTTAATATCACGCAATGCAGCCACTTTTCAAGGTAACTCATTATCTGGCCAAATGAAGTCCTGCAAGTTTCATTTTATTTTTATTATCCTGCATTTTAAAATAATACATAACACAATAATATGTTCAGTGATAGATATTACACAAGAACAAATCTCAATATTCATTCTGTTGATTGTTGGAAGTATAGAAAGACGTTGAGAAATAATCCAGAGACTCATTTCCTACAGAAAGTTGGGCTTCAGAAATCTTGGCTCAATAAAAGCAAGGGAATTTTATGTTAATATGCTTGTGGAGAAGGAAAAAACAAGCTTAACACTTAAAAGAAGTAACGTATGAAAGTTCACCTGGGCATTTTATGTAGACATCCTGCTCTAATGAATAATATAGATGTTTAATTTGTCACGAGCAAGTCTCGCTTAATTCGTAATGTTTGTGTTACTCCTTCAGTGATGATTCTTTAGAAGCTTGATAGATCACTTCAATGATGGAGAGCTCTGATTTGGAAGAGTCCATTGGACTTTTCACAACACAGAAACATACTAAAATTTGACCTCAATATGGTCAGGTCACGCAGAGTGAAGTGATAATGATTCTCTGTGGCCAATTGAACAGAACATGCTACCACTCTGATCATGGAATTTGCAGAATATTGAAGTTGCCCTGGCAAGTTTCCTTTTGATGGTGTGAGTTTTGTAGTGGTAATGATAGCAAAACTGTCAGTGTTCACCATTACTGAGCTTCTTTAATAGGATGCACGGTTGCAATCCATGCAGATTACACAACAATAAAATTCATAAAACCATTAAGAAACTGGCCTTTTACACCACTAGTCTTGCTTTAATATCCCTTGAAATGTTACACCTTGCTGAATGAGACATAACTGGTGTTTAGGGGTGTATTCAGTTTATTATTGCTTTTGACTTATTTCTACTTACACAAAGTTTGTGGAAGTACAGGTAGATTATGATTGGAGGTTCCAATGCCACTTTGACCTCTGACCTCTGTGATCAATCATGCTGCTGGCAACAGCCTGAGCTTGCATGCAGCAAACATGGCAGCAAGCATGGATCTCATGGCCTCTGCCCCAGTTCCCAATGTGTGGAGAGATTTGGAGCTTCCGCCAGTGCTATGGTGGAAGCTGAGACAGTAACCACCAAGCCCTTTATCATGGATGGGTCTGCCAGTTCCATCATGGAGTTGAGCACCATCTCTGTAATGATAAGGATGAGCTTCAAACCCTATGTGATGATCTATGTCATGTTGGAGCTTTGGCAGGTTGTGATGCCTGAACCCAACACTATTTCCATTTATTGCGCACCATTTTGCTTGATAGTGACAGAGGCTGCCTGGAATACTGTCATCAGCTTTGTTTTGCATGCTGTCCCATTGACATCACCATCTCAGTCTGCTGTGGCAGAAGTAGTCTATGACCTTTCTCTATGGGAGCTGGAATGTGCACTGTCTGGCTGCAGCCCGCCTATTGTGGATGACTCATCACATGCTGGTTTTGACTCTATTCTAGCCTTTAGGTTATGTGCAATGTAAGCCTCTGTTCTCAAGTGATGACACTTCTTTATCACTGGCTTGGGATTGGTATTTCTCTTTCTCCTGGGTGTGTGTTTGGCTAGGGAGGTGGTAGCTCTTGGCTGCCTGAAAACAGAGAGTCAAAATGAAAGGATAAGTGAGATGGGAAAACGTTGTGCTGCAGGCAAGAAGTTTGTGCTCACATCATTTGGACTTTGGATATGGTGCAGAGTGCAGGAAAAGAGGGAGGTCGGTTTTGAAAAGGGCTAAAAGGGCAAAATATCATTGTTACCATTGTCTTGGTGATGATTGATACTTTGGGCACTGTCAAATCTGACACCATATAGTGCACCATCTCCTCCTTGGGGCTCAGAGGATCATGATATGCCTGGCATGTCCTGCTTCTTTGTTGCTTCCTTATACCCTGTGCTAATCTTCCCTGAATGAGAGAGGGAGAGAACCATGTCAGGGTGTTGCACTGTATTTGGGTGATGTGACTACCATAGCTGAATAGCTACAGGTTTGAAGAGGGAGCGAGTTGTGGATGTGAGGCTGAGATGATTGGAAGATGTGTGAGGATAAACTGAAGCTTCTGAATGTTGGACGTGAGTAATGACTGCTATGGACAGCTATTGAGTCAGTGATGGGGGTGCTGTTCATTTAGTAAGGTGAGTGGTGGTCTGCAGGATGTGAGATGTCATGTCAAGATTCATTCACCAATTAAGTTTACCTGCTTGAGGTCATCAAGCTTCTTTTGATACTCCAGCCAGGTCCTTGGGGTCAGATGATAACAGAGGTTGACTTCCTGGCTACTTGCTCCCACTCCCTTCAGACAGCATTGCTTGAGGTTGTGGAGTCCTGTGGAAACTTGGCCTCTCTCCTCTACCTCCACCTCCACCTCCATGACTAAGTCTTCCAATGCTGCTGCTGTGAAGTTCTGTGCTCTGGGTTTCAATTCTTTTGTCTGTAGTTGCAGAACTGGAATACTGCAGCAGCTTCCTTTGATTCAATGTAACTTCTCTTGAAGATGAAGAGATGATTTTAAGGATGTCTGGGCAAACTATATGTGCTAGTTCTGTCATATTCCAAGCAGAAAGAATTTGCAGATTTAACTTTTTAACAAAGACTATGAAAGTTTTAATAGAAAGAAAAATTATTGCTGTACATGTGCAATGATCTTTTTGAGTAGTACATGATATGGTTTCAGGTTTTTTTTTGAAGTACCATGTAGAATCTTATAATCAAGCCATCACTCTGACAGCCAAGTATTCTACTGGGCTTTGACGTGTGTTTTGCAGCTGAACAGTAATGTGAATCATGCTGAGTTGCATGCAGAAATCACTTAAATGAGGAGCCAGACAAAACTTGCACACTTTCTGCTTGAATGAACTTTGGCAAGTTGTGATGCTTGCACCCAACAACATGAGCCAACAATTTTTCAGCTGAAGATATTGCGATTTATTATGTGCTAAAGTGATCCAAGGAAGCTTGGACTGATGTAATTATGCTCTGGAGAATGATTCAAAGATCCTTGCACTGCTGTGGATAAATATAAACATTTAAAATGTAACAGCAAGATACTGTCGAAGCTGGAAATCTGTATTCACCACATTTGCAGCATCTGTCAACAGCAAAACAGAGTTAAAATTTCCAGTACAGTGACCTGGACTGATCAGAATAGAATCATCAGCCTGAAGCTTTAACTTTTCTCTCTCCACTGATGTTGCCAGACTTGCAGAATATTTCCATTTTGGTTTTGTTTCTAAAATATGCTTGCTTTTCTTGTTTCTATTTACCTCATTCTTGAAAGATATTCAAATTGTCAGCTGTCTGTTTGAGACTGGAAATGTCAATTTACAAATTGCAGCTTTACTTCAATATACGTGGTTGCATACAAATGCTTGCCTTTCTGAAAATTCAAGGAATGATGATGAAATTGTTGAAATCTTCTGACAACTCACTGATTGAACATCAACAGATAATGAAGGGCCTAATTTTGTAGATAATACAGAGCTTTAGTATTTATCTTACTGCTTTTCAAAATCCAGGAGATCAAAAGAGGTTTATGAGCTACACAATAGGCTAAATACTTATGTCAATTCCAAGCAGTCCAACAAGTGCTCATCTAAAGCTGTTGGGCATTGGCTTCCAAAATGAGAAGCTTGTCTGAGTGGAAGATCCAGAAACATATTGATAACTTCTGCAAGAAACCTTGGAGTGATGAAAATGAAGATTAATGAATGTTGACTTTCCATATGCATGTAATGGCATTCATGTCAACAACCCCCAACTGAAGAAACCAAGCAAAGCTTTATTAAATTCGAGCTGAGGCACATAGCTATCCTTTTCTCACAGCTGATAAGACCAAATGTAATTTTTATTATGGGCAAGGACATACTCTGTAATTGTGCAAATTGTGCTCAGATAAAAACACTTATCATTTTAACCTAAGGAATGATTTATTGTGTACTGGGATCTGCATCCTGAGAAGTCATTACTTCCTGCAATTTTCTGGTTGTTTCATAGAGTCACAGTGTCATACAGCGCGGAAACAGACTCTATGGTGCAACTCATCTGCACCGACCAGACATCCCAATCTGACCCAGTCCCATTGGCCAGCATTTGGCCCATATCCCTCTAAACCTTTTCTATTCATATACCCATCCAGGTGCCTTTTAAATGTTGTAATCGTACCCACCTCCATCATGTCCTTTGGCAGCTTGTTCCATATACACATCACCCTTTGCATGAAAAAGTTACCCCTCAGGTCCTTTTTAAAATTTGCCCCTCTCACCTTAAACCTATGTCCTCTAATTTTGGATAAGGAAAAAGACCTTTGCTATTCACCCTATCCATCTCCCTCATGACTTTAAAAACCTCTATAAGGTTGCCCCAGCCTATTCAGCTCCCCCTATAGCTCAAGCCCTCCAGTCCTGACAACATCCTTGTAAATCTTTTCTGTACCCTCTCATGTTTAACAACATCCTTCTGAGAGAAGTGTAACCTTACTCACACCCAGCTTTTGGAATTGGCAAAGACTACCTCCTGTCACTCTGGGACAAACACATCTTTGCGTTGCTGCATTCCTATTCAAAAAAATCATGTTTATCAGCTCTGTATCTAACGTATTGTAATTTGCCAGAATTAGTGTGTTGCACATCGAAGTTTTCTGTGATACATTATTTCCAAAATGACTGGACTCCAAACTTCCCAATTCCCTGAAAAGCCCTGATCAACATAGCTAAAATATGAAATAGCCAATATTTTATTATATATGAATTTCATAATACCAAATTGTTATTAAAATGAATGCCAACATATTATGGAATGTTTGCAGTGTACTTGTGTGTACTTGGAGCATCAATTAACAAGGTGAAAGCAATTTTCTTCAGTCTCAATCAAAGCAGCTCACAGTTTTCTCTGCAGGCAATCCTGTCCAAGGAGGTTCCACGTTTACCGGTCAGGTTGTTTGGCTCTGATACAATTGATTTCAATATTCAAGAGATG